TGGGGATGGTTTTCAGGGGAGGAGGTGGAAGCCGTACCTGTCTGCATCTTCCCTGCTCACAGGGTTCTGCAATGATGCAACCTGTGTTAGCAACCCAGTCATCTCCTTTTCATGGGAAATTTGCTGTCCCCTCCCCTGTAATGCTTTTCTCGATTATAAAATCAATTATTGTAAAACAAACAACAAGGAAATGTTTCACATGGAATGTGAGTGGTCTCTTCCCATTCATCCAGATCCATCCATCCATCCATCCATCCATCCATCCATCCATCCATCCATCCATATATATGCCAGATGAGGTAGCCACTTTCAGTGTATGCCTTTATAGATATTTTCTGGATGCATTCACCAACTTATTTACTTTATTTATTTATTTGTTTTTTTCAGAAGCACAGCTCGGTAATTTTCTTATATCACCTAGCAACATATCATGGACATTGTTATTTTTTAAATCTATACCGCATTCGTTTTAATGGCCATTGATGTCCTGGGCTATGCACCACACATTGCTTATTTAACCAGTTCTCGCTGATGGCCTCTGGATTGGGTGAGATGGAAATTGCATTTGAAGGAGTGTGGGGAGGGTGATGGCTGGCTGGAGTAAAGGCTTTCTTAATGGTAGCATTCCAGGTAAGGTGTGAAGCAATATTCCTCGCCTTCCACCCTCCATCTCTTTCTCCTTGCTGCTGTTATTGAGATTGCAAAAAGGATCCACCCCTGAGTCCCCCAAACCCTTGGTCTCCTTTCCCAAGGAGGTGAAAGGATACCTCAGGTCCTGAGCTTTCTGAATCCACCATTCTGCCTAGAGCCTTTAGTCTGGCCCCATGGCATGCTGGGATTTGGCTGCTTACCTGCGGGGCTCAGACCTTTTGCTTGCTCAGCTTGGGGCTTGGCAGAGGGTCTTGACTCACATTGGGGGCTTAGGGGAGAGCAAACAGTGAGGTGGGGACCAGATGGAGTGAGGAAGGTAGTGGCTCACTGGAGAGAGAATGAATGATTAGAGAAGAGGTCAAGCCATCCCAAGAGACAGCAGCCAAGGGGACAGCACTGCTGTTTGTCATGGCATTTGGCATTTGGGAAATTCGATGATGCAAACAAGGCCTCCTGCTCTGGTACCTATGAATATTCATGAGGAGTTTTCCCCCTAGAGCAGCTGGGAATTCCTCCAGACTTTAACCAGCTTCTTTCTCCACTGCAGGTCTAGAATGTGGTCCTTCTGTATTCTGGCTTTCTGCTCCCTCCCTTCCTTCCTCTGTATCTTCCAATTCTTTGAGTATGGCAGAGGCAGGACAAAAAAAGCTAGTCCTGGGGCACCCAACTGACAGGTTTAGATTTGACCTCTCTGGTCCTATTTAACCCCTTTTCTGTTTGGAAACTCATGACCAAGAACCTGAGGCAGAAGGTGGAGAAAAGTACAGGGCACTGGACATAATCTTACTCGTGGTTTAGAACAAGTGGGGGAACTGAGCTAACAGCCTAATTGGCCAGCACATGTCATCTGGTGAGGTAACTGAGCTGCAGATGAACCAGGCGACAGCAGAACCTGAGGCCGACAGCCCGATGCTCCATGCATCCTCACTGCTGGATCAGCTCAGTTGCTGTGTTCCCAATACACCCAGGTTTCAGGGCTCACCTCATCAGCTTGGCTGGATTTGGAATCACACCTCCGGGTAGATCTCTGCGGACGTTTCCAGAGAAGTTTAACTAAGGTTGGGACTTACTCTCAGTGTGAATGACACCATCCTACAGATTGAAATCTTACAAGAAGGGAGGGAAACACCAGTGTTATTGCTCTCTGCCTCCTGACTGGATACACACTGTGACAGGCTGCCTCCTGCCTTGTTACCTTCCCTGCCATAATGGACTATACCTTCAAACTGTTTCTTTCTTGGAGCCTGATCTCTGTGACACAGCTGTCTGTTGTACTTAGACCTCGCAGGCCTATTTGGTTTCTGGCCACTCATTGCCATACTAGGTACAGATGTCCTACACCATCTATCTTTAGAGAGGACATGGGCTCCCTAAACTTCAGGTGGAGCTGTCTCTTTTTCATGCATCCAGAATTGTGTGGGCCTGGCCCCTGTGACTGGCTTATAGGGAACACAAGAAAGAAAGTGTAAGTGAGGACTGTTTGGCTGTGGATGACAGACAAAGCTGTGGGTGTGGATTGAATTAGAAGGAGATGCTGAGAAGAAAGAAATCCTACAGGTCATGGCTGGGCCATTGGGCTTACATTTTCCTTTAAACACAGCCTCCGAAACTTTCTCTCAAATGAAACCTTATCCAGAGCCTTGCAGATAAAACTACAACAGGAGGTCTGTTTAGGTGGCGGTGACACGAGGGGCTTGGATTCAGCTCTTCAGCCACCATCCCTAAGCAGGTCGGCTCCAAAATTATCCTCCTCCTGTGACTCACTATGCAGATGAAGAGAGGGAGCTCCAGTAGGAATGGGGTTTGCTTGAAGGCATCAGTGATAGTGGCAAAAAAGTAGAATCAGGGATGCTCGGGTTGGGGCCCTCCTGCTCTTGAGAGCCACTCAGCACTCACAGTATTTTTTTCCTCCTCCTCTGGGCTTCTGGGTATTCCATCTGAAACTCTGATGAGTGGTCCCTGGGCACTTGAAGATGAATATTGGCAAAAAGGAGGATGTGGAGAAGAGTTAGGCAAATGAGGTCTCTTGCCAGAGGGTTTCATCTAGCCTGGAGACGCAAGAGGACTGAGTAGGGATGACTGAGCAGAGACTGACTTAGTCCTCATTTCCTACTTCAGCCTGATCAAACTGTTGAGTGTCTCCCAGTTCCTCAGTTTCCCCATCTGGAAGCAGAGCGGAGTTCTCAGCTTCTTCAGCCTAGTGAAGTTGCTGGAGGGTGGGTGCCATATGCTTTGTAATCAAACTATAGGGGTTTAGACAAAATAGAGCAAGTATATTCATATATACCCGCTGTGGAGCAAGAGAAAGAGTATGACTATGTTGTGTTAGGGGGTTTGCTTCATTTCGGATGAGATCTGTCCAAGACTGGTAAGAGGTTGGCTTGGAGATGGCGGGTAGCAGTGGCCTTTGAATCTGGAAATGGATGACAGCATTAAGAGCCTGTAGCACACAGGCCAAGAACATGAGCTGCTGTGGCCATGTAAGAGTGTGAGTTCTTCCCGGCTCTCTTCAGGCTGAGTCCAGGAAAGAGGGACGAGTCTATTATAGGTCCTTTAGTTTTCACGGTCAGTAGCAATGGTCACTTAGCACATATTCCCTTGGTCTTGTCAGGACAGGGCATTAAGTGTCGGCTACAGCTTTCAAGAGACTGTGCCCTTATATGAAGTAATTTCGCTTCTGTAGAATCTGAACTTCTAAGATTACCTACCTGTGTAGTACTCCATGCCATTTCTGTCCTAGGGCCTTAGTTTGGTTATCTGAGAAATGAGAAAGCAGGAGTGATGAAAGAAGTTGAACTTAGTTATCACTAAGGACAGCGGAGTTCAACATTTATGTTTCAAGTCTAAGAGTTCTTATGGAAGTGACTCTCTCCTACTCTGAAAGTTTATCAACTCAATTCCAAGGCTGCCCAGCTACCACTCTTCTACACTCTGCTGAGAGTTTGGTGGGAGCTGATCATATTCATTTGTTGTCCAAACCCTATCATACAGACTGGTCTTACTTTTCTGATCTGAGAATGTCATATATGTATGCATCCATTCACTCATTCATCTACCATTCATCTATCCTGCTACCTGTCTACCCACCATCCATCCATCTACCCATCCACCCATGTATTCATCTACCCACCCACCCACTTACCCACCCACCCACCTACCCACCCACTCACCTACCTACCCACCCACCTACCCACCCATCCATCCATCCATCCATCCATCCATCCATCCATCCATGTTGCTACCTACTCACTACCTACTATCCACCTAACCTTTCACTGCCTACCCATCATCCATCCATCCATCCATCCATCCATCCATCCATCCATCCATGTATACATGCATATATTCATCTACGCATCCACTACTGCCCACTTATCCTTCCACTGTCTTCCCATCACCCACAATCCATCTTATAAATATATATTTATAGTGCCCATTACAAACCAAATGCTCTGCCTAGAAACATACTGAGATGAGGAGATGTAGCTTCTCTATCAAGTAACTCACTGGCTGAGAATAAATGGGCAATGAACAGCAACTATAATCCAAAGCACAGCAGAGTTCCTAAGTTAGATGTGATTCCTGTGTTCACTACTCACTTCCTAGTTACCTGTGTGCTCTTGTGTGAGTTACTTAATCCCCTCTGAATCCATCTTTCCATTTGTAAAGTGGAGATAAGCATACAGGGCATACTGAAGGAAAAACACATTTCAGTAAGCATTATTCTTTCTTCGGAAGAAAGGCACAAAACCACAGCATGGTGACACAGGATAGAACATGCTCAGGCTTGGATGAATTAAAGAAGCTTCCTAGCATGGTAGACATCTGAGAGAGGCACACTGAATTCCAAGATTCAAAGACAGGAGAACAGGACATTACTACAAAACAGGGAGCACGGCTTGATCACAGAGGTGTGAGGAGCGTAAGTTGGAGGGAGAGCTGGAGCCAGGTGAAGAGATCACTGCTGCTAGTTCTAGCCTTCCTGGGAACCCACAGAGAGTTTTTTGAGCATGGAGAATGGGATTTGGCTTCTAGACTCTTTGGGCAGAGCTGGAACCTCTTCTAGGGACCATAAAGCAGGATCCGGTGCTGCCATCATTACAGTGCCTGCCAGGACCCAGTAACATCAGCACTAGCTACAGGGGCTCTGTTAGTTCCTTCTTGTGGTTTGGTTTCAGGATCCTTATTAAGAGCAGAGCTTAAACTAATGATTACTCCAGCTTTGGGACCCACTATTCATGCTTATTTTGTTTGAGCCCATCTCTTCCTGCTTTTCCTCCCTCCTCCAGGCCTCTCCCCTTCCACCTTCACAAGTCCATTTCCTGCAGGCAAAATGGAGAAGCCGATCTGCTCTGTCTTGGTTACCAGGGTTTGGAGGGTCAGCACCTCTTTCCTGGGTGCGGGACACTCCAGCTCCATGGTTAGACACCCACTGCTTATGGAGGTGAGCCAGCTCGCTCTTCTCTCTGGGGTTCCCCACACAGATGTCTACGGGCTGAGATGGGTGTCCCTCCTCCTTCTCCACAGAGCCTAGGGTGGGATGGAAAGGGTAGCAGGATTGGCTGCACCATAGGGTATGTAATGACCACCTAGGTGAAACTTGACAGTGTACAGTCAAGAGGACAGGGCAGATCCTTAGCGGGACAGGGGAATGGACTTCTTGAGGAGTGAGGACTGTGTTTTCCAAAGAAGCACGTCTGCTGGTCAGTGCCCTGAGCTGGTACATGCTGTTGGAAACTTCTGTGACATTTGGGCAGGGGGAACACTCAAGGGTAGCAGGAGATATATAAACTGAACCCCTCCTGCTTTAGCCTTCTGTCATAGAACTTTAGAAATCAGTGGCTGGCTGAGCACTTGGATTGGCTTCTGCAGTCACAAGGAAGAATTTAGGGGGACCCTAGGTTATAGGGCAGAGTCCAGGTAAGGTACAGAAGGCTTATGGCTTTTATCCTTGCTCCTAACCCCAGAAAGCTGGTTCCAACCGGGTCAGGATGATTCCAGAAAGGCTCTGTTCTACAGGGGAAGCGTAGAGTCTCTTGCTGGCTCCTTGTTTTCTAGAAGGGTTGCCTTGATTAGGTAGATGACTTATCCTTCTTAGCCTGTTTCTCAATCATAGAAGCATGGTAAGGATCTGGGGACATCCTGTAGTGTGTTTGTGTGTGTGTGTGTGTGTGTGTAGGGTTGTTGTTTAGGTTTTTGACAATTTATCGAAAACTAGTGCCATCTGAGAGCCTCAGGTAAGAAAATGCCCCCAGCAGATTGGCCTGTAGGCAAGCCTGTGGGACACTTTATTTATAGATGATTGATGTGGGAGGGCCCAGCCATTTCTTGGTGGGTAGGTCTGCGGTGTATAAGAAAGTAAACTGAGCAAATCAGTAAGCAGCACTCCTTCATGGCCTCTGCTTTAGTTCCTGCCTCCAGGTTCCTGGTCTGCTTCTGTTCTTGTCCTGACTGTACTCACCGATGGCTGGTTCTATAGAGGTAATAAGATGAAACGAATCCTTTACAAGTTACTTTTGATCATAATGTTTATCACAGCAGTAGAAACCTGACCAGGACAGGGGTGGAGGGAGATCAAGACAGGGTCTCATGAATGTTGGTCTTGATCTCCCTCTGTAGCAAAGAATGACCTGGAACTTATGATCTGCCTGCCTCCACTTTCTGAGTGCTAGGATTGTATGTATGCACCAGTGCACATGGCTCTGGAGTGTTTAGAGCAGTGCCTCACAGATAAAGAGGAGGAAGGAGAAAGGCCTCCTTAGGACAGGGCTTCAATCTGAGGATCCACCAGGCTCCTATCTTGCTATCTGCTTATTCCTTGGGCTACAGATCAGACTATCATCGGCACCGAGCCTCTTTATCTCTTCTCTTGCCCCTCATCTTAGCTCATGTCTATATCTTTGGATGCTGTCAGTGTATCTCCCTGACTATCTGGCTCCATCTCTTGCTCTCTGCTCATTCTTTCCACTCCCCACCCTTCATCCCCATCCTCCTTCCTCCCGTCTGGCTATTTTCTCACTATTTATCCTGTGGGCGCTCTGCCTCTGCCCATGGCTATACTTCCATCTGCCTCCTCCAGGACTTTCCCTAGTCTATTCCCTCCCCCCTGTCTACATCTCTGCCCCTTGTTTTTCCCCCGCAGCCCTGGTAAGAGCTCAGCATCCTTACCCCCACCCGAACCTTGGCAGACAAGCACGGAGTGGAGCAATGCAGGCAGATGGGGATTGAACACAGTCTCTCAAGGCGAGGGACAGGCCTGCTAATTCCCCCGCTCTGGGTGGAGGAAGTGGAGGTCTCATTTGATTATGTCACATCCACTCAGCCGCTCCACCCAGATGATGCAGTGCAGCCCGCTCGCCTTGCCTTGCCAGGACCTAATGGAGAGAGATCTCCTCCTGCTCAGCTGACCACAGGGTCCTTCTGGAAAAGGAATGGGCCCAGCCAGTCTGGCCTAGACACTCTAGGGCTGTTGTGATTCCCTGCTCATTCTAATTACACCCAACGACTAGTCTCTGGGGTTTGTTCCTCTCATCTTAATCTCCCTGGAATTGGATCTCAGCGGCTCTCATTCCATTACTGCCCCTTCCTCACTGGCTCACAGCCTGTAGGAGCCAGTCTGCTCTGACACTCCTCTGTGGCATGAGGCCCATGATTGTGTTGGCCAGAGAGATGACCAGAGAGACAGGGGCTAGGACCCAGGCTAGTACTGCTTTTCTGGTTTGAGTGTGCAGACTCGAGGGCACTGCAGCTGAGCTGGTGTCTCGAGTCTTTGCCTACTCCAGCTGTATCAGCTGCCATAGAAGATTTTAGAGAAGTCTCACTCCTTCCTCCTTCCTCAAGAAGCTTGGTTTGGAGAGACAAGACCAGCAGATTATGTACGGCCCTTTCCATAAGTAGATGTGGATTCAGAGATCAAATGCCCAGCCAACAGTGTTTATTGAGTCTGATTCTTTTGTGTACATTACACAACTGGGCCCTCTCTAGTTTTAAGTGGGGCAGCTGAGGCATGGAGACGTTGAGAAGCGTGTGTAGCTGGTGTCAACTGATGCTCAATCCCTTGAGCTAAGCCCCGACTTCTCCCTTTCTCTTAGGGGCTAATGTACTGTTTCATCAGGACTCTGTGAGTCGAGGGTTGGAGAGAGGACCCAGGCCAGGGAGTGAGCAGCGATGGGAAACGTGAGAGGTCTGTGGCCTGGGTGTTCTGCAGGGCACAAGGAAAAGGGGGTTAGATGCCTTGCACAACTCACAATAGAGTCTGATACTCAAAATATGGACAAGGAAATCAAATAGAATTACCAGTAAGCAGACCAATACAATGGGGTGAGTTGTGCCCCTCAAAATATATGTATATGTTGAAAGTCTGGTATCTGTGTATGTGGCTTTGTTCTCAGTATGAGAACACCTAAGGTTTGGCATGGGTCTTAAGCCCAGTGACTGATGCTCTCATATGGGAAAGGAAGGGAGATACATAACAGGAAATGCTATGGAGAAGTGGAGTGATCGTTGCCATGAGCCAAAAAGTGTTGAATGTTGCCAGAAGAAGCGGGGCTCTCTCCCTGTGTGCTTTGGAAGGGATGAAATATCCCACCTATATCTTGATTTCTGACTTTTGACTCCCTTAACTGAGGGAATACATTTCTACTGCTCTAAGCTACCAGTGTGGAAGGATTTCCCCAAGGAGAGCTGTAAACAGGAAAGGTCAGGGGCTGTCGATGTTTCAAGGGCAGAATAGGACCTTTTCCCTCTGAGGACCCTCTAAGGCATACTGGGGCTTCCCACACATGACTTACAGAGAACTGGCTGATGATTCAGTCTCTTGTTCTTTGCTATTGGCCAGGGAGGACATGTGAATCCCAGAATAAGGGTCCCCAGTGCAGCCATAAGGGTCTCCAGTAGAGTGGAGAGTGGTGCTTTTAGGTGAAACAGAAGGCAGGTCCTACTTTACTTAGGTAGTCAGTTCATGGAACAGCCCATGAGAAGAGATTTTTTCTAGGAATATGCCATGGTTTGGATATTATTTGAGTAAGTCTCCCAAGGTTTATGCTTTGGAAGCTTGGGCTCCAGTGTGGAGATGTGGTGAGGTGGGGGTCTGACGTGGGATCTATAGATCATTGAGGGCGCTTCTTTTGGTACATGGTGGGGTTGCCCTGATACCACCTAAAAAAGAATGAAAGATGCTTCAGGGTGAGCATAAAGAAAGACAACTGTCATCAACTTCTACTCTGCTGGAAATCATCCCAAGGCCACTTTCCTCTGTGCATAACTGTGGGCTAAATTAAGTAAGGGCTTTGCTTTGGGCCGGAGGACTTCATCCAGGCCAGTTATTCTGTAAAAATGAGTGGATTTCCCAGCTTCTTGTCCTTCCTTGCTAACCTTAAATGACAGATAGGTCTCATGCCTCTGAGTATTAAGATCCGTTTCCCTGAGTGGCTCTGGGATCTGTTTCCAACTTGAACTTAAAGGGCAGAATTAAGCAAGATAAGCCTGTGTTTTGTTTCTAGTGCTTACGACTGCTAGAAATCTCAGTGGGCATTGCTGACAGTGGAGGAAGAAGTAATTTAACATAGGGGCAGGAACACAGAGCTCTGGGCTTGCTCTCAAAGGCTCAGCCTGTTGGAGGTTGGGCACATGAAGGAAGGGGCAGATCAGTGGAAATGTACTCCATGCTGTGGGAGAGAGGAAAATGTGGGCCATTTATTTGACCACAGGCCTCAGTGCCCGGAATGTTCCTCTTTCCTGCCCGGTGATCACAGCTCTTTGCTTTTGCTTTTTCCTCTGCAGATGATGTGGTGCTTTCCCACATACACTGCTCCTGAGTAATCTTCTTTACCAGAGGCTTCCCCACCCCCAGTGCTAGCCAAAGTGGGACCTGGACAACCTTCTGTTGCTGGAGGTTCTCTGTCTTGTTCTCATCTGGTCTTTAAGGGAATAATATCACAGAAAATTGCCTCTGATTTCCTTTTTTTTAAAAAAATTATTCTTTGGGAATTTCATATACATATAAATGGAATCTGATTGTATCTATTTCCCATTTTTCTCCTCCAACTCCTGCTAAACACCCACAACACAGATCCCTACCAATTTCATGTCTTTATTAATAGCCCACTAAATCCAATTAGTGCTGCTCACATGTGCAATGGATGTGGAGCCCTCCATGGACGTATGGGAAACCTACATCCTTGAGGAAGAATGGTTCTTCCTCTCCTGATAGCTATCAGTTACCAATAGCTCCCCAGTTGGTGGTGGTGCCTTAAGAGTTCCTCCCCCACTCCGGGTAGAACTTTGGCAGGCTTGATCTTATGTGGGTCTTGTACAGGTGACCACAGCTGACGTGTACATGAAATCCCACAACTGGGGAGGTCACTGGCCCTAGGGTTGCCTTTTGTCATTTTGTTACATTGTCATATTGTCAAATCACCTTCTGACTAGTCATGTTTATACAAA